TCCTTTTTTTTTTTTTTTTTTTTGGTGAAAACCTGCATAGGATTAATCCTCACAGTTTTAAGGTACTTCCCTGCTACTTTTTAGAGATTACTGCCTAATTCTGAAATCGTAGCTGTGTGTTTGAGTTAGTACATGGGATATAATTCTAGACTAGAAGATTTAAATCTAAATTCTTATGCTCTTGTCACCTAACTTGAGTTTTGACTGTTCTTTAATGATAGTTGTTAGCAGAATAGCAAAATAGGTCAACAGTTCTGCCTTTTTTTTTTTTCATCATCTTCCCAAAGCAGATTTTGCTATAAACACAAAAAGAAAGCTGTCAGCACTTTTTTTTTTTTTTTTTTTTTTTAGACAGAGTTTCACTCTTGCTGCCCAGGCTGAAGTGCAATGGCATGATAGGCTCACCGCAACCTCCGCCTCCCGGGTTCAAGCGATTCTCCTGCCTCAGCCTCCCGAGTAGCTAGGATTACAGGCATGAGCCACAACGCCTGGTTAATTTTGTATTTTTAGTAGAGACGAGGTTTCTCCATGTTGGTCAGGCTGGTCTTGAACTCCTGACCTCAGGTGATCTGCCCACCTCGACCTTCCAAAGTGTTGGGATTACAGGCATGAGCCACTGTGCCCAGCCTGCTGTCAGCATTTTTGATGAGCCTGTTCACTCTGGACTCTAATCTTTTCTTCATTAGCTCTTTTACAAACAGTTCATGCTCACCAAAGAACATTTGGAACATAGAACAGGAAGAAAGTTGCTCACAGTCTACCATCCAAACCCAGTCACTGTCAATATTCTGTGTTTCCTTCTAATCTCTTATGGGCGTGAACTTCTGTTTTTCTCCTTTGTAGTCACATTGCTTTTTTTCGTTCCCTGGACAGTCCATGGTCAGCATTTCCATGTTACTGTATAGCCTGGCATTAGTCGTTCAGATAGTGCCATTCTCATTGTAATCTGTCTCTCTCCTGCCTGTGTGCTTTGGCAAGTTGTGCTCACCTGAAATTCGCTACCTTCTCTTTTCCAGGGAACCCCAGGAAATCCTTGTTAGTTACTGGCAGTGCAGTAGTGAACAGAGGCTTGAATGTGGATAAGATTGATTGGGTCCAAGGGCCTTCTCGGTGCTTGGAATTAAAAGCCATGACTTTGGAACAGAAAGAGCCTAAGGGAAGTAAGGAGATGGTTTCCTAGAAGGCAGCAGAAAGCAAGGAGAGCCCCGAGTGACGATAGAGGAAACAGACCGAGGATTAGGGAGAATACATTAGGGAGACTTGTTGATCTGACAGAAAACATTAATTTTAAATGAGACTAGCATAGAAAACAAAGACCAAAAAAAATGACAAAAATAATTGCCAAGGGCATCATAACATTACAACATTAAAAAAACCTACAGGTGAAGAAATACCTTAAAAGCAAACAGGAAAGAGTATAAGGAACAAAATTTCTGGCCTCAGATGTCTTTTTTTTTAAAAAAAATAGAGAAGGTCTCACTATGTCGCCCAGGCTGGTCTCAAACTCTTGGGTTCAAGCAATCCTCTCATCTCGGCCTCCCAAGGTGCCGGGATTACGGGCACGAGCCACTGCACCCAGCCTCACATGTCTATTTTAATTTAGAGAAAGTCGTACACATCAAAACTTGGGCAATGGATAATCCTGTTCAAAAGAAGCAGGTAAAGATACAAAGAAAAAAAAAGAGAGGGAGGCAGGCGCCGGGTGCAGTGGCACACGCCTGTGATCCCGCACTTTGGAAGACCGAGACAGACGGATCACTGGAGGTCAGGAATTCAAGACCAGCCTGGGCAACATGGTGAAACCCCATCTCTGCAAAAAATAAAAAAATTAGCTGAGTGCGGTGGTTTTTTCTTTTGGAAAAGGTCCTACTCTGTTGCCCAGGCTGGAGTGCGGTTGTGCGATCCTGGCTCTTTGCAGCCTCAGCCTCCTGGGCTCAAGCAGTCCCACCTCAGCCTCCTGAGTACCTGGGACTGTAGCTGTACACCACCACACTCAGCTGATTTTTAAAATTTTGGTAGAGATCAGGTCTCCCGGTGTTACCCAGGCTGGCCTCTCGAACTCCTGGGCTCAAGCGGTCCTCCCACCTCAGCCTGCCAAAGTGCTGGGATTATAAGCATGAGCCACAATGCCCACCTGGATTCATAAATCTTCACGGTATCTTTATCTTTTTAAATCTGGGCTGTCAGGAAAGTACTCAACTGAGTTACTCTGGCCACACTCACATGGGCTCCTGTTAAACGCATCTCTTAACTCTTTGAGATTTAAAATTATTATGTGTTTAAAATTGTTAAACACATTTTTTTATTTGTAAAATTTTTTTGTTTTAAATAGAAGTAGTAGCATATATCTGCAGAAGAAGGATGGGAGAAAAAAATTTTTAATTTTGTTACTAGCATGTAAAAACATGCTTGGGAGTAACAGACATTAAATTCTTTTTTTTAATTTAATTTAATTTTTTTTTTTTTGAGACGGAGTCTCGCTCTGTCGCCCAGGCTGGAGTGTAATGGCGCGATCTCGGCTCACTGCGAGCTCCACCTCCTGGATTCACGCCATTCTCCTGCCTCAGCCTCACGAATGGCTGGGACTACAGGCGCCCGCCACCTCGCCCGGCTAGTTTTTTTGTATTTTTGGTGGAGACGGGGTTTCACCATGTTAGCCAGGATGGTCTCGATCTCCTGACCTCGTGATCCGCTGTCTCGGCCTCGCAAAGTGCTGGGATTACAGGCTTGAGCCACCGCGCCTGGCCAGAATTACGTTTTTAATAGACCCTTCCAGTTTGCCCTTCAAAGTGACGATGCCCACCAGCAGGGGAAGTAACTCTTTCCCCTACTTACTGCCAACATTTCGCACTAAAACACGTAAGATATCTTGATTCAAGTACCAGAGACGCGGGAAAAATGAGGTGTAAAATCTGGTCGGTGAAAACTGCTATCCTCTTGTTTTCATGTGCATGTTAATGATCGGTAGTGAGGTCAGCCCATCTCCTCACATGGTTATTGGCCTTTTGTATTTCCTTTTATGTAAAGTGCTTACTCATGTCCTTTGCCCATTTTTATTTTGGGTGGTCTTTTTTTTCTTAACTGACTTGTAGGATCTCTTTAGTTTCATGCTTTGACATAGTCATGGGCAGCGTCTTTCAGAATTGTCTCCACTACTGCACATTTCTCTTCAGTATGCATTTAACAATTTTGGAATCAGCCAGTTAGCTTCAACAATACTCCGGTTGAGCTTGATAGTGCTCTGATTGCTACAGATTAATGTGGGGAGAGGTACCATGTATTTTATCAACACCCTTTGTTTGATCTTTCTGGGCCTGATACACCTGTTCCGAATTAATGCTGTTGTTCAGTGATAAAAATTAAGGTAGTTTATCTTACTGTTGTGTCTCGTGCTCTTTTGAAATAATTGTAGTTTCTCTCAGCATGTTTCTTTCTAAACTCGTGTTGTCTCAACTGTTAGGAAGGAGGGCGGATGGGATGTGCAGTTGCGGGCAGGAAAATTCTATCATCTTTTCTGTGTCTTGTCTTTCTAGCAATTCCCAAAGTGAGACTGGAGACAATCTATATTTGCGGAGTAGATGAGATGAGCACCCAAGATGTCTTTTCCTATTTTAAAGAATATCCTCCAGCTCACATCGAATGGTTGGATGATACCTCCTGTAAGTACACCGAGTTTTCTGTGAATATGCTTTTGTTGATGATTTTTCAAGAGGTCCTGCCATCAGAGATGATGAATGATTATGGCTCATACTACTTGTTTATGCCTAACTTCTGCTGTTAGTCCAGGAGAGAAAAACTTGTCGAGCAGTGAAACCCAGCATGCCTTTACCAGTCTGCCAGCCCATACCCCATAGTCTTCCAAGTCAGCTTAGAGGTGGTGGCCAGGGCTCTAGGAGGTGGGTTACTGGCATCTGAATCTGCCGTACTTGAGTGAGGCCTCTTTAACACTCACCTTTTCCCAATAAAGGAGAGGATCCAACTGCATAGACTTGGGGCTGCATTTTCAGAGCCTTGGACTTTGTCGTTGCTGCCTTCTGTACTGTTACTTAGAGGGCTGACTCTGGCTGTGTCTCTGACCTAGAGAGAGACCAGTATACACACTCGACAGAGTGTCATTCTGAATAGACAGAATGACCTAGACCTAAACACTCTCGTAGACCTCTCCTTTCTGCTTGCCTTGAACTGCGTGTTCTAGAATATCACCTGCTTGCCCTAACCCATGAGCTTTCCACCTTGTGGGCCAACTGTAATTTTAACTTGTCTGCTTACTGTAAGTCTGACCTGACCTCTTGTTACTGCTTTGCTGGCTTCTCGTCTTGACTCACGTCTAGTCTGGCTTTCCTTGCTGCCAGCTGGCTGACCTACTAGGTAGCACCCTGGATAGCAGCCTGGTTTTCTTAGCTGCTCTCTTCGAAAGGTGTCTTCACTGAAGGAGAAACATCACTGAGTGAAATATTTTTCTCCTTTTTTCTTTCTGTTTAACTTACACTATCCAAATCAGGAACCGGCAAAGCTTTTTCTATGAAGGGCTGGAATACAGATATTTGAGGCTTTGTAGGCTTAACGGTCTCTGTCACACGTACTCAGCTCTGCTGTGGTAGCATGAAAGCAACTATAAATAATACGTAAACTATGAGCGTGGCTGTTTTCCGGTAGAATTTTATTTACACAAACAGGTGGTAGGCCGGGCATGGTGGCTCACTCCTGTAATCCCAGCACTTTGGGCGGGTCACTTGAGATCAGGAGTTCAAGACCAGCCTGGCCAACCTGGCAGAACGCCGTCTCTACTAAAAATACAAAAATTAGCCTGATGTGGCGATGCAGGCCTATAATCCCAGCTATTCAGGAGGCTGAGGCAGGAGAGTTGCTTGAATCCAGGAGGCAGAGGCAGCAGCGAGCCGAGAAAGTGCCACTGCGCTCCAGCCTGGGCAACAGAGTAAGACTTCATTTCAGAAAAAACCAAAAAACAAAAAGCAGGTGGTAGATGTATGTAGTTTATTGTATATTAATCATACCTACATAAAGCTGGCACAAATATAAATAAACAACAGGTGGTGGGCTAACTTTTGCTTGAGGGTTATAGTTTACTAACCCGGATCTCAGTCATGAAAACTGTGAAGGCATAGTAGAATTGGAGGGGCCCTCAGAATTACATAGTTCACCTACCTCGTGTTATTTATCAGAACCTGAGAAACAGAGGAAGGAACATGTTACCTAAGGCCACGTGGCACATTAGTAACAGAAGTGAGAGCCTCAGACCTTCATTTCCCAAACTGAGATACAGGGGACACAGAAGTTTGAGAAATACTCTTTTAAACAAAGTTAAAGAGGTTTATTTTCTGTGAGACTTCTCAAAACTCTTTTCTTGCTAAATTATCTTCCTTAAAGGGGCACATTAAATTAGTTGCTACAAAGCCAACTGGCTGTCATGCCTCCATTCTACATATCCCAGGGATACCGCCGTCACCCACGTTTTCCAGAGGGAAGGGGGAACATCACTTAGCACCTCCCGACAAGGAACAGCAAAGGGCTTCCTGTAGGGGGCGGTAGTGTAAAGGGCAATCCAAACTTATTTGACAGTTATCATCAAGAACTGCTAATACTTGAATATTCAGTATTTAACTACCTGTGTTCTGTCCCAAGTAGTTTTAATATACACAACCCTTTTTCATGGAATGCTTATTTTGTGGAACCCAGTTTGGA